AATAGGTTTTCCCTTACATCACCTCATCATGTGACCTGCATCTAAGCTTGCAGGGGACTACTAATTGTATGGACTATCCAATAAAAACCTAATATGTCAAAATATGTGTATCTGTCCTTTTCACCATGGTAGTTGCCATCGAACAGCTCTCAGTTACAACTGAATATCACATTTTCTTTGGATGAGGTATTTTATTGGACTCTTGGCATTTGTTTAGTGTCAGATCCTCCTTGACAATTGTTTGATGAGCATAATTGTTTGATGAGCATAATTGTTTGATCGGCAGTCCAGAAGTTGGTGAGTCAATAATAAAGCATGAACTTTAGGGATAACAATTTCTTGTTCATCTCTGTGTAGATTCTTATGCTGTTATTTAGCTTAAACCTCACAATACTGCTGTACACTCACAAACAAAATAATGATAATGGGTTTTTTAAGGTCTATGTGTCAGGGTTTCCCATGCCTCATTGATATGATTTGCGATCAAAATACGCCCACATCTTCAATGACTCATATTTTATGCAACATATTTCCATCAGTCAATATTAATTTGTTTTCATACAAGGCAACAAAGTGTTGTTTCTGCTCATTTGACTGGGCCTAAAAGAATATGTTAACGTGGCATTTTTCTCTGTTGGAGGAAAGTAGGTTATAGATAGCTGCCCTTGGTTGAAAATCCATAAAACATAAAAGGTGGACACTTAACTTTAAAAATGATGACAAACGCTTTCGTGTTTACCCAAATAAGCACTGAAGAATCATCTGTAGCTATTGCTAAACAGAATATGTAGTATATTTACATTGTGTGATCTGCAGTAGTGTCGGATACAAAAAAAATTCTGATAAGTAGGTCTAGCTTGTGACTCACAAGTGTAAATAGCCCTTCATGAATGTTGCAGGTCCACATTGGGATGAAAGGCCCCAAGCATGACATACAAATAGTGCAGTACATGTTCTGTGAGGGGGTTAATTAGCACTTCCTTTGAACTCGCTTTTTCTTTTCTGTCCTATTCCTCCATTGAATGTTGTTTACAATTGCTAAAATAATCTTCTAAAAATTTAAGATGTCGTCAAACCTTCCAAAAATATATCTTTGACTCTGACATTGTAAATTATGACAGCCTAATCTACAGACGTCGTAAAAACAACATGCCAAGGAGAATATACAAATATGGTAAACAATGAGTGCTATATCACTCAGTGTTTTGATAGGACCGCCTCCGTGGTGTAGTGGTTAGAGTGTCCGCCCTCAGAGCGGAAGATCGCGTGTTCGATCCTCGACTGCGTCATACCAAAAGACGTTAAAGTATGGTACTTGTTGGTCCCTACCTGGCGTTCGGCATTAATGGGTACAACAAGGACTGGTCGGCTCGGAGTCAGTATAATGTGTCTGAGTGGGGTATTCATGCTTCACTGCGGCATGGTATGTCGTGAGCAAGCACTATAAAACCAGCTTAAGTCTGGGCTAGTACAAGCAGCCGCACATACACATACACATACACACGCATGCACGTCGTCATATGAGGGAAATATTCTCAAGCACGACGTAAAACCCAATTTCACCTCACCTCAGTGTTTTGATAGAGGGAATTCATTGTCGGTGACATAAGTACTACATAATGGTAGTGTGCTGAGATGAACCAATCAGAAGAACAATTTTTATGGATTGACAACTTATTTATAGCAATAGAAGCAACATTTTGGTGTAAATGCTAACACCGTTATCAGCAAGTTATACACAATATTATGTATGTTAGCATGTACACCGAAACGTTGCATCCATTACTATAAAGAAGTTGTGAATCTATGAGAATTGTTCCTCTTCATCATACCAGCTTTTAATGCCACTTAAGGAAATACCTGTCATAGTTGACTGACCACATGTACAGGTGAGCTACAGAGCCCAATGTATTATATTAGTATACAGGCTAGGTTGAAGATTGGCTTGTGCCAAGACTCACATTAAGTATCCCTCATGGATGCTGTTAGTGAAACCTGTTCTTGGTGTTATTAATACAGTCAGACAATTGTTCAATTTCGTTGACTTCCTGATGTGTGGATTGTGTGATGCTAATATCCTACCTTTCTCACCTGGTGTTGCAGCAGCTGTGTTGCTATAGCAACGTAAGCTGCTGTCCCCCTCCCTGTGATAACACCTCAGTCTTGCCATGTGGTTCTGGGATGGTGACAGGTTGACACTGGTCATCTGTTGCTCACAATCTGATGTAAATAGTTTATGATATACCTGATACTTGGAAGTGATATCCTGTTGCAGAATAAAAGACTTTTCTATCTACTCTACACATCAATAGGTCAGTAGGTACTTCTAGTGTGTGATTCAGGTAATGATCCACAATGATTTTAAGTGTGCATTGTAACTATAAGCTGATGTGAGATGTGTGGGAATGAAAATCTTGTAATTCAATTGCACTGGCTTGTTGTATTTCCTAACCAATTTAAGATTTCCAAAATCATGGTTTTATCAAGTTTTATCATTTGCTGTTATAATCATGCTAAGTTAAATTTGTTGTCCGAGATTGAGCGAGACAGGAACAAACATACAGGAACATTGATGAAACACAAATGTTTCTAACTAAATGTTTTGCATCTACATACAATGTAGTGTTTTCTGTGTTGGAATCTTAATATGACTCTTTCAGGGTTGTACACAATGCAGAAATATGCATCCATTATGCACATATCTACAGGCAGGCCACAGGAAAAAATGTATATTTTGTCCCTGGGGACGTACTTTAATAGAATAATAGAATAGAATAATACTTTAATGCCTTTTCAGGAATTTGTGTTACATCAGCAGAGCTACTGACACATTAGAGAGATACCAAACATATTTACATAAATTCTTTGATTTTGGTATCTTCACATTTGTTTAAGAGAGATATGGTACTTGGAATAAAGGATGTACGGGCTCTCTTAGTTTTCACAATTGGAACTTTGTAGCGGCGGCCTGAAGGGAGGAGGTTGTATTCCGAATTGAGTGAGTATGGTCAGATATGATTTTGACAGCTTGATTCACGATTTGCCGCTCATATATTGATGATAAACATTCAAATCTGACTCCAGCGACTTTACTTGCAGTGTTAACAATTTTGTCTATTTTAGATTTGAGATGAACTGAGAGAGACCCGTACCAACAATGGAAGGAAAATGTTAAAATACTCTGAATAAATGCTATATAAAAAGATATCACAGATGGGTTAACATTAAAAGATCTCAGTTTACGCATGAGATGAAGACGTTGTTGACACTTTTTGTATAGGGCTTCAGTGTATAATATTCAGCCTGCACCAAATTCTCAACAAGAAATATAAAGATCCTGTTCTAAACATAATTATTACATCTTACATTACAATGTGCGACACTGTTACTATACTTTATTACATTACAAGACTCTCATATTTCCTGTAAGAACCGTGAAATTAGTATTTGGGGATCCCTAGGTGTATGGGCCAAGGTAGAACACTGCTCATTGATGTGCCGTTTCATTGTCGCTCTGTCAAACTGAACAATCTTACACCAGGGCGGTGGGGTGGCCCAGTGGTTAAAGTGTTCCCTCGTCACGCCGAAGACCTGGATTCGATTTCCCACATGGGCACAATGTGTGAAACCCATTTCTGGTGTCCCCCGCCTTGAGATTGCTGGAATATTGCTATTGCTCCCTCCCTCCCTCCCTCACTCATTCACTAACTCACTCCCTCCCTCGCTCACTCATGCTGTACATATAATGTGTGTGACCATGCTAAATGATCACTAATTCTGTGACAAGTATTCCTTGAAACCTGAACACACCAGCAAACGCGTTCACAAAGGCCTCGATTCGATTTCCCACATGGGCACAATGTGTGAAACCCATTTCTGGTGTCCTCCTGTCGTGATATTGCTGGAATATTGCTAAAAGCGGCGTGAAACTTAACTCACTCACTCACATACTACAATCATACACATCACATAGCAAAAACATATTTGGATCACACAGGGGATCATTTTAAAGTTAGCCTAAACATAACAGAAGATATTCATTTCCCAACAATTTTTTAAAGATAAGTTGCCAACTTTGTTTGCCCATCCTCTGTTATCTAGGGTATAATGTCTGTTAGGATAAGATCCTAGGTTCCACCATAGTTTTGTTTCAGCCTCATTCATTAACATGACGCCAGAAGTTCTCATCCAGTCAGATGTGTCTCCACTGTATCCCTTCAACATATTCCGGAAATGAGGTTAAAAACAGATGTTTCCAAATGTTCCTCTTGTTAGGTGGATAGTCTAGTGGTTAAAGCGTTCACTCGTCACGCCGAGGAGACCCAGGTTCTATTCCCCACATGAGTACCATGTGTGAAGCCCATTTCTTGTGTCCTCCACAATGACATTGCTGGAATATTGCTGAATTCGGCGTAAAACTAAACTCATTTATTTGCTATTAGCTTGAAAGGCAAGAGGCAAACACAGATATCTTCTTGATCTAGTCTTTCAAAATTTGCATGAATTAGTTACAACTTGGGTCCATTTTTCATAGAAAATCATATCAAAAGGATTTACATATAGTAAGTATTGTAGCTGTCACACATTGAACATTGATAACTCGTTAGGATGAGAAAGCCACAATAACTCGGTGCTGCAAGAGTTGTATACTCCCCAGGGAGTTGAGATTGGTAACACGTTGTGCCGTTGAGATTGACATCCAATGATTGAGGGAAAAAATACCAGCGCTTTGAGCAAGCACAAGTTGCTTGGATATGTGCGCTATAGAAATATTGTATAATAATAATTAAACTCCCTAATGTTACCATATGATCATCTTGAAGGAAACTCTCATTGAAAACAGCCTTTTGTAACTTATTGAACATTAAAAGTTACATCCATTATCTCCCCACAATCATACTGACACTCGGGGTACAGGTAAAAGTCGTGTTTGCAATGGCAACTGTCCAATTTGGGCATCATTACATCTTAAGAAGGATGAACCCACGTTATAGCTCACAATGTCGCCAATCGGTCTGACAGAGGAGGACAGTGTGTGGTGCCCATAGGCGGGTCAGGAGACGGGTGTGTTGTTGAATCATCAGATGTACACAGGCTTGTGACATTTATTTACATGTCAATACCTAGGCCAACCAATTTGTTTGAGCCAGGGAGGTTGTCGAGCTGCTCGTCGAACTGGTTGATGAGCTGACTCACCTGCTTTCAGCTCGGTCCGATATGTTGCAAAGCTTGAAATAAATCTTGCCTCTTGCAACGATTTACGAATTACTGAATTACACTGATATTGAGTGAATGGGACTGGCGTGAAGTATTGAATGGCCTCTCACTGTGGGTCTATTGTATAGATTTATCTTCATATCAGAAATAGTCTCGTATAAAAGACATGAAGAATAGTCTATTTCAAGCAAGAATAGCAGCGTTATTTTGCCGAACTGGGTGTGTATGTGTGATAATAAATCAGCATCTAAGATAGAGTCTTTTCATATAGAATGCCAGCAGCACAGCTAGAACTAATTTCAAAGTTAGTTTATGCTCAGACAGTCTTCAGGGCACTCTTGAAAATCACGTTTTACTTGCGTTTGTTTGAAGCTACTACAGTTTAAAATGGAAAACACATGGACAATAAACATTGGAACATGCTTGTTGCACAATAAGGTTTTCAAAAATATCTTTGGGTTTTCAGAAATTAAAACGTGTGTTATCTATCTCAGTGACAAGGAAGGAGGCAACTTTCAAATTTTCAACCTCTTTTTCCAAGTGGTGGCTGAAAATTTCTGAGTCTTAAAGAACAAAAGATTTACACACTTCACAGAAAGCTTGTGTTTACATGTGATACTTTGATGCTTCAGACTGCATTGTGAACCAAGCTACAGCAACACGTTATGTGTGGATCCCTACGTCTAGGCCACTACCAGTAATACCATACTGCCAGCAAACTAGGGAATCGTTATGATTGATTGTCTTGTAAATCCACGTTTGTAATATTAATGTGTATATTTCTAAAGCACTAAATCCATGTCGTCTCTGTCTCCTCCGATACTAAAGGTAAATACACAAAACCAAATATTTTCCATTGACTTCTGGAGTATATGTTATATATAGATTTTAATTAATTGAGCCCTCAAAAGCTATTACATGTGTGCGCAGCCTGGTCTTAAAACAGATGTAAACAATTCAATTACTTGCTTAACCAGTTCCTTTTCCACATATATGATGATACACAGATTGAGTGAGTTAAGTTTTACGCCACACTCAGCAATATTCCAGCTATATAAAAATCGAGTCTGGACCAGACAATCCAGTGATCAACAGTATGAGCATAGATATGGGAACTGATGACATGTGTCAACCAAGTCAGCGAGTCTGACCACCCGATCCCGTTAGTCGCCTCTTACGACAAGTGGGTGTAAACAGATTGAACCCACAAAATGTTCACCTGCTTCAAAATATCTCCGGTCACATACAGCATAAGTCATCATGTTAAATAAGAGCACTAAATATTGAAAAACATGGTCAGTTTTATTTAATGGATGGATGCACATTTAGAAAACACAAACATCTTCCACAAAATCATCCAATCACAGCTGCCATATGATTCTATCTGCACTGAACGATCCTTTCTAAAACTACCTGCTAATCAATGGATTGTAGTATAATGTAGAGTTTGGTATGGTATAGCCTAAAGATGTTATACAATACCACATTAGCATAATTAGTATACCTGTCTTAGCATCAGGTTTGAATAGACACAATCTTTGTAGCATCACAGTATCCTTGATTATCAATATTGATATTTTCAAGGGCATTCTTCAACTTGTTCAACATTGATTAAAGGATGTCACAATAAAACTGAATGAAAATGAGCTTTTTTCCAAACACCATATGTTTGTCTTTGCAAGCCATTATTTTTGTTAAGGCAGTCAAGATCATGTTTAAGTCTATGCTGTCCCAACATGCAACATTGACAGCTTCCCGCATGCAAATAAGCAGTGTGCAATAAAACAGTTTTTGTGTTTTCAAAGTGTTCAAGAGGACATGAAAAGAGAATTTAACAGTATAGATTTGTTGTCATGACAACACAGTTTCTTTATGTACACAGGTAATGAGATTGATTTTTCCGAAGTATCCTGTAGACCCAGGTTATAGGGGCAACAATAGTAAATACGCTGATCAGACAATAAACTCTTGTTGGTGGTGAGTAGCAACTAAATATTGTGCTAGCATCTTTGGAATCAATGAACCCATGTCATGTGACCAAATCAAACTGTACATTCTGATGTGGGATGGATGCAAGAAAATATTGTGACAATTGTTGCGACATAGATATCTATATCTGGGTTTGACACTGACCTACTTAACAAAGGATCCCGAGAACCCTCAGTCACTAGTTGCAAGGGTCCTTGCAGGAACCATGAGGGTCCTGTAAAGTACTGGAATGGTGTGATGTTACCTAACTGTAAAATTTAATGATTACTTTGATTACAAAAATGAAACACAACTTTATGGATGACAACTTCTTATTTATTGCATAGAGCAACATTTCGATTTCGATTCTTACATCATTATCAAGCTAAAGGTGTGTCTTGATAACGAAGTAAGAATCTACATCGAAACGTCGCTCTATGCAATAAATAAGAAGTTGTCATCCATAATGTTGTATGTTTCATTTTTGAGTCACCAACTTCTAGAATGCTCATCAAACAAATTTGATTACAGGTACTTTCAAGCAGGGTTTTACCTTGAGTCCTGTATTTGAGGGTCCTTGGGACTCATACTCTTAATTTTCAGGGCTCCTGGACAACAAAATGGGGGGGTCCTAGACACTTATATATTATTATTAATACTGTTATTGTATTGTGTATCATGATCATCACATTTTTACAGTAATTAAATTGCAAAAATACCATAACCCAGCTAGTAGCAAACTCAGTGATAACTTATTGTCACTTGATTGGAACTTTTACAAAAAGTATTTGGGCTTTTTCTCAGTCCCTGTGGACGTGCTAATAAATTTTGTTGCGTCCATTGTCAATTTTTATGCGTATAGGATTTGCGTCCTGTAAATCTCTGTTTCAAGTTATTGTTGGGAATTTAGTACGGTGGACATTATTTTGTGTCCCAGAGGATACAAGATATACTTTTTCTGCATTCATTCTACATGTTTAGGCATACTGGACGCATATTTCTACACTGCTGGTGGTACACTTTGTTGTGATATAATATAAAACTTGGACAGTAATGTTGTGAAAACATGACATGTGGACATTTGGCTGGTTCTGAGACAAGTCCATTGTCAAAAAAGAAAGATAAACATTTGGTAGATTAGCCTTAATTAATGAATGTTACTTTGACCTCTTGTACAAGCAGAAAATATGGTATTTCTAACTACTTTTCATACAGATTCACATATTTTGATATTCAATAACAACAGATAACAAGAAATATTACTTATTGTTACTGTAGTTATATTGCCGATGTGACGTTAAATATTAACTCACTATTACCGTAGTTGGACTGGGGAATGCGGCATCAATATACTATCACATCATGAAACCATGATACAAGTGTTTCTGTATAGGGAACAGTTAAGGTCATGGCATTGACTTTCCTTAAAACCTCAAATTTAAACAAAAGCTCAAACTAAAATGGCCTTTCCATCGGAATAAAATCTGTCCGATAGGCCTTTTTGTTGCTTGACAGAAGCGATTAACATTTTCATGAGCATGAAACATTCTTGAAATACTTGATGTGCAATTATTATTATGAAATGTGGTCATTGGTTGAAATAGCTGGTACTTCTAGAAGTAGAAACTGTGTCATATTTGAGAGGTCATTATCAACAACTAGTTTTCTTGTCATGCGCTGGCTGTGTAATATGGCAGTGCAGTGTATTGTTGAACAATGTTGTACTTTTATCATGTTTATTACCTTGTTTCTCTTTAGATTCGGTTCATTACACTATTTTTTAACAATAATCAGTTCTCAGGAATGTATTACGATCAAAGATAAGCATTGATGTGCAAGTTACTTTACTTAGATGCATTTAGAGTTAGGTGTCTGTAATCTAGAAAACTCCAGCTGAGTATAGAACATTCTGGAAGGTTACTTAGTCATACTATCAAATAGGGCCGAGGGACAGTGTGGTCAAAGGCCCGGGTTCGATTCATCACTTGGGTATATTGTGGAAAGCCCATTTCTGGGTCCCTCTCTGTGATATTGCTGGAATATTGCTAAAAGTGGCGTAAAACCCACGTCACTCACTCACACTCGAGCCTATACCATATGATGGAAGCCTGACCACATACTGCTAGACATATAATACTATCACCGACTTTAGTCATTATCACTGCAGTTTAATTTTATACTGCCATTGAATTTTGTACTGCCACTTTATTCAGTTGTGTACACCATTGTATCTCAGGTAGTGATTTGTAAAACTCATTTATTTTACAATACACTTATTAATTATTTAACAATTTTTGGTTGTTTGTTTCACAGTGAATGCATGGGTGTATGGATTTCTGAGTTGACTAATTGTTTAAATTTTTAAATCGACACGTAACAGCTGTGTTATGGATGTAATATTAGGAGGAAACTCTACAAGCTAAAAGGAAGGAAATATTCACAAATATTCAATATTTCTCATGGGTGACAGATAATCAATAATTCTTAATTATGATTAGGTTATTGTATATGTTACTTTTTCTCCTGGGAAAATAAAGGTAAATGTGTGTTACCCAGCGTGTTACCCAAGAGGCATTAGCTCATAAACAATGGATGACAGCATTGACAAGTAGTTGTAACAATGCACTGATATAACACCACACTGCTATGGGTTGCTACTAGTAATGCAAGAACAGCCTCTGTGGTCTTGTGAACAGGACCCGCAAAGGTCCGGTTTAGAATTGATCTTCAGTACCCCATTCTTGTCGTAAGAGGCGACTAACGGGATCGGGTGGTCAGGCCGCTGACTTGGTCAGCGCAGATCGATGCTCGAGCAGTTGATTACTGGATTGTCTGGTCCAGACTCA